CTTGAATTTAATGAATCGCAATATCTATTCTTTCTTGTGACTGATCAACAGTATGAATTTGTTCGGCATACACTAGTTGTTTAAAAGCGCCCCACCAAAAGAAATTCAGGGGGTTCAAATCAGGAGACCTCTCAGGCCAATGTACGGGTCCGTTTCTGCCAATCCATAGTTGTTTAAAATAATAATAATAATAATAATAATAATCATTTTTATTGGAATGTATATAAATAAAATATATAAAAACGACAATATTCCAAAAGGAAAGAGGATTGGCGCGGCCATTTTTCACCTCCCGCTAAAAAGCTAATTTCATGATTAGTATTCACAACAAATATTATGCACAACACAGTAAATAATACGATATAGTCTGAGTGTTAATGGAAGATAGTGTAGCAAGCGCCATAAATTTAATTTGTGGATTCAAATCTTTGTAGCTATAGTAGCACTTTTTCCATCTCATTTCTGGAGTTTTGGATGGAAGGTGCTTCAAAAAGCTCTAAATGATCGTTTAGAAGGTATGGTGCCGTGTAAGTAAAACACTTATTGAATTTAGACAGGAAACTTGGCGGAGTGAACATCTCTTCTCCAAAGCAATAAACAGATATCTGGGTAATTTATATTTTAACACTTTATACAGTAGAGTTCCATACTGAAGTATTACACGATACTTGAATTTTAAAAGATTTTCTCTCACATAATCTCCAGTAACATGTTCTTGTATATTATGTATATCTTTGAAACAGCATCTTAGTTTCGTAATACTTTTGCTTCATTTCTTCCGTAAGAAAATTATAGTATACTGTAGCTCCATAGTCTAGATGAGTGAGGATTTACTGCACTGGTAATTAAATTTATATCACTGGTTAAAATATGTTTGTATCTCCAAAGTGACTTGTATTTACAATAGCATACTCGAAGTTTATTAATGAAATGGTTCTCAAAACTTAAATTTGTGTCCAATAAAATGCCTAAATTCTTAGTCTCCTCTACAATTTCAACAGCTGTATCACCTAAAACAATGTCTGTATTAATCAATTGTTTAAATTTTGAAATATTCAACCTAGAACCAATGCAGCAAGCTTTAGTTTTTGAGGGATTCAGTTTCAAACAATAATTTTTGGAATAGTTTACAATCATTTCTAGATCTACATTTAATTCACACACATCAGCAGATGTATATTCCAATCACGTGACATAAAATTTAATAAATCAGATGTATACGTACAATCTAAATAGTAATGCACATTTTGTAAAGTGGACATTTTGTTAAACAGCTTTGTACACTGGGACCTGCCAGTCAGGTAGTTGTTGAACCACAGTAAAGCATTATTAGGCAAACCATAATATTGTAGCTTTTTACACAATACTTCATGGTTGACCACGTCAAATGCCTTACTGTAATCTAACATCACCAATACGGTCATCACACCATCATCCATGAACTTGACTATATCGCTAGTTACTTTTATAAGCGCTGTGGATGTGTTGTGTAGTTTTCTGAATCCCGACTGTGTATCCGGGTAGGACTTCATTTACTTCTAGATGGTCATGAAGTTGGTCAGATAGCACTTTCTCTGCAAGCTTGGACATCACAGGTAAGGTGCTTACTGGTCTCAAATCCTTCATCTGTATAGCGCTATTGACTTTTGCTAGTGGCGTTACAATTGATTTCTTCCATAATGTTGGTACCTCCCTGTGTGCAGAGATTGATTTATGATATCCGTTATTTCACTTTTGCAAAAAGAAAATACATTTTACAGCATGATTGTAGTAATACCAGCTATACCAGCAGCATTTGATTTCACTTCTCACAGTTTCTTTCTGATTGTTTAACCATGCGGTTATGTCACGACGAACATGCGGTGGGGCACCGTCGTGCTGATACCACATTCGTACTCTCGTTGCTAACGGAACATCATCTAATACATTTTCTATGTAATTCTATATAAAATACTGGAAAGTATGAGTTTGCATTTAAACGTTGAGGCAATACGTGCATAAATAGTTGGATTCAAAACGCCGCATCAGAAATTTCTAGAAAATCTGTGTTGAAACGAGAGGATTCTTACATAACGGGGATTTTCTTACGACCAAATACGTTCATTATGAGAATTAAAGGTTCCACTCCTCGTAAAAAGCGATTCATCTGACCACAAAACCAAATCCATAAAATCTGCATTTTGACTATGCATTTGCATTGACTATTCACAAAAATTTCGCCGTTGCACTTCAGCGTCGGGTTGCAGACATTGCACATTTTGCCGATGGTAAGGATGTAACATGATTACTGGGCTGTAATCCGCTTAGTACTTATACTAGGGTCACCCAACCCAAATTCATCACTTTCAGTTCCTATTGAACAATATACCGGACACCATGGCCTCTAGCTCCGGGAAGTTTGGCAATTCCGTATTGTCTTGGAAATAAACGCGTAAAGACCTTTGGGGTAGGTTGGCGTCTGGTAGAAAATCTGCGTCGATACCCCCGAAAAGCCGCTAAAGTATTTCCATTACAGAACCCGTACACAAAAAAAAATATCGGCATACTCATCATTGCTAAACTCCATTTCGCAACCCTCAAAACTGAAAAAACAAACTTGTGACTTGACTTTTACAAAAAAAAAAAATGGTAGTAGAAACGATAACAACCGTTTAACACATATGTAACTTTGACAAACCATCTCCCAAGAAACGTAAAGTTGGTATCAAGGACTCCTTTCTTATTCTGAAACTAATTGTATCTGGGCTCTTAATGAATAATTTAATATGTTTTATTTTTATTTTTACGAAAACAGTGCACTTGCGCATTTCGAAAAAAAAACACTTTTGTTTGATAAAATCATGCCACTAATCCCCTGAATCTCCGCCACTGTTGCACCTTAATTTCAAGATTTTTGCATGTGGACAATATTTAAGTAAATCCGCATATCAAATTTTAGTTCATTGCAGTTGACGGTTTGAAGGTATTGAAAAAAATGTTTTTTGTCTTTAAACTTCAACACTTCTTTTTAATGAAGCCCTCGAGGAAAAATGTTACATAGAAGACCCTCCTGAAAATACGGTCCTGTGTATTATGTATCATTTTTGGCCACTATTTGTGACTACCTTCTTGTTTGGAACTTTATTACATTTGGAATATTGTATCTAGTAACCCGACTTTAAGTTGCATGTGGCAACCATGTATTGTAAGAAGAAGGTAATATAGAAGTGTGGATAGTAGTTGCAGGTGTGTTAGTCTCCTAGTTTTTTCCTGATTTTATAAGTAAAAAGTAAAGTAAGTGGTGACTACAGTCCATGAAAGCATCAGGGACGCCATCCGGCATCAATTGCAGATCCGAGGTAAACCCTTTACAACATTTTTGGTCCTAATCGAGCACGGATACCAGCGGATCTTCTTTTCGGTGCATGAGGTAGCCGCCATTTTGATGACGGTAGCATCCACGTAGCAACAGTAGTAGGTCAGGGGACGGAAGACTATTCCACCACCTGTAAACCTTTCCTTAGATTTGCGTCAGTTATATACGCGATCTTAGAAATTACAGTTAGCGTCAGTTATATACGCAAAGTTGATCAGTTACAGTAAGTTAGCGTCAGTTATATACGCAAGTTTAGTAAAAAGTCAGCGTCATTTATACGCGATTTAGTTGAATTCGATAGTACAGTACAGTTAGTAAAAATGAGTGAAATTGTTTCACTAAAAAATCGTCGAAAGACGTTGAAAGGCCAGTTGACACGCTCAATAAGGTTTTTTGCCTCATTAGATAAGAATGAGGTAGATGATAATATAGTACAGGAAGTTTCTAGTAGATTGTCTAAAGTAGAACCTACATGGGAAGAATTTAATGAAGTTCAAAGTAAAATTGAGGAGTTGGAAGTTTCGTCAGATGATGATATTGAAAGAGAACAGTTTGATGACAAGTATTTTAAGTTGGTTGGCCATATGAAGGCGTTTATTAAGAAGTTCGAGTATTCCACTGATGCAACAAGTAATGCATCAAACGGTGGTGCATCAGGAGTTAAGTCCACCACCGGTTCAGTCAAAAGTAATGTGCCAAATGGTGCATCGGTTGTCAAGTCTACCACTGGCTCAGTTAACAGTAACAGTAGTTCGTCAGTTGTTAGGGTTACAACTAATCCAGTTAATGTAGTGAATAATAGTACTTTAGTAAAGTTGCCACCTATTAAAATACCTACCTTTGACGGTCGTTACCATAATTGGTTAGAGTTCAAGGACTCCTTTTTATCTTTGGTAGATTGTAATGAGCAGCTATCAGATATCCAAAAGTTTTATTATTTAAAAACCAGTTTAGAGAAAGACGTTTTGGATACGATTAAGTTTATTGAAGTTTCAGCAGATAATTATCGAAGTGCTTGGCAATTTTTAATAGAAAGGTATGAGAATAAAAGATTGATTGTTTTCAATCATATCAAGGCGATCATAGAACATACACCCGTGAATAAGGAAAATCACGCGGATTTAAGAAATCTTTATGATAATTTCATGAAACATCTCAGATCATTGAAAAGTCTGGGAGAAAAGACAGACGAGTGGGATAGCCTTATTATATACATCATGAGTACCAAGTTGGACTCGGTTACCAGAAGAGACTGGGAGAATTTTAAGTATAATAGGGATCTTCCTACAATGGCGGATTTGCATGTATTTTTAAAGAAAAAGTGTGAAGTTTTAGAAAAATTGGAGTTAGTAAAGTCAGATGCTAAACACTTCGATAGAGGGAAGTCTTACCCTCATACAAGTAGTAGAAAACCGCATACGAGTAACAGTTTTGCAGCCACAGAAACTGCGATTGAGTGCTTTTATTGTAAAGGTTCTCATTCGATATTTAAGTGTATATCCTTTTTATCACTGCAGGTAAGTGATAGGATTGCAGCTGCTAGAAAACTAAAGTTGTGCCTGAATTGCTTGAGAGATAACCATCTGACACGGCAGTGCAGATTGAGTAACTGCAAAAATTGTAAAGCGCCACATAATGTATTACTTCACCTTCCGCGGCGAGAAGCGACCGCTGCTGAGCCAAATCTCCATCGGACACCGTCGGAACGCTTAGTCACCGGTTCAACGCCGAACGACACAACGCCGCCGCCGGCTTCGAAGTCGTCGCAGACACATGCGGTGTTGCCGTCGCCTACAGAAGGGTTTACATCCGCTAATGTGCGGGCGGAAAATTCGCAGATTTTGTTATCTACAGCATTAGTGCAGGTGAAGGATGCAAAAGGGAATTTTTGTATCGGTAGAGCGCTCCTGGACTCGGGAAGTCAGAGTAATTTCGTTTCAGAAAAATTCTGTAAACGCTTAAACTTGAAAGTGAGTAAAATAAATCATTCTATCAGGGGTGTGGGACAGACACTCACGAGTATCACCAGTAAAGTTGACATATCCATTAAGTCAAATGTTAGAGAGTTTTCCATGGATATTAATTGTCTGGTTATTCCTCGCATAACTGATAAGCTGCCTATAGTTTCTTTTGACAGTTCTAGTTTAAATATACCGCGAGATACCGAGTTGGCTGATCCTCAGTTTAATATTTCCGATGAAGTAGATATATTATTGGGATCAGAAGTGTTTTGGTCGGTAATGGTACCCGGGTTGAAAAAGGGTACTCGGCGACTAGTTTGGTTACAAAATACGGAATTAGGATGGTTAGTTGCTGGCAATATTGCTTCAGAAATAAGTGATAATACAGTAATCAGTTGTTTGAGTATAAGTAACCGTTCTAAAATGAAATGCGTCAATAGTACGGGAAATATAGACAGTAAATTAGAGAAGTTTTGGCAGCTGGAAGAAGTAGCTAAAGATAACATAGTACAGTCCGAAGCGGATCGTTATTGTGACGCATATTTTAAAAGAACAACAAGGCAAACGGAAAATGGTCAGTTTATAGTAAACGTTCCGTTTAAGGAGAGTGTAAAGCAATTAGGAGAGTCGCGGGAGATGGCACTTCAGAGATATAAGTTTCTAGAAAGAAAGCTAGATAGAAACTCAAGTTTAAAGTTAGAGTATAATGCATTTATGAAGGAATACCTAGAGTTAGGTCATATGGAAGAATTTGATGATAGGTTAGAATTAGATAGAGGATATTATTTGCCTCATCATGCAGTTATTAAGTCATCAAGTATAACTACGAAGTGTAGAGTAGTATTTGACGCCTCAGCCAAGACTACCTCAGATTTGTCACTAAATGACACTCAGTTTGTAGGTCCTAAGCTACAGGATGATCTCTTTGATATTTTGGTGCGGTTTAGAAAGCATAAGTTAGTCATGACAGGTGACGTGTCTAAAATGTACAGGAGAATTTGGATTACTGAAGAGCAGAGGCTATACCAAAAAATTATTTGGCGTTTTGATTCCACCAAGGATATAAAGTGTTACAAGTTGAAAACAGTGACGTACGGCACAGCATCAGCGCCATATCTTGCAGTGAGGTGTCTATTTGAAGTAGCAAATATGCATGAAAATGAGTTTCCAGATGCCCGCAAGGTTATTAAGCGTGACTTTTATATGGATGATGTGTTGACTAGTGCAGAATCTGAGGTGGATTTATTGAAAATTCAAGGAGAGGTATCGGATATTTTAAATAGTGTTGGTTTGCCATTAAGAAAATGGTTGTGTAATGATAAAGAAATATTAGCTAAGTTTAAAACGCATGGTGAGATAGAGGCAAATATTTTAGAAATAGGTGAAGATGAGCAAAACAAAACACTCGGAGTGTTTTGGAATTCATATAATGATGTGATTCAGTACAAAATAGATTTTGAAATACTATCAAACCATCGTATGACGAAAAGAGGTGTCCTATCTACAATATGTCAGATATTCGATCCTTTAGGTTTAGTAGGTTGCGTTACTATTGTGGAGAAATTATTGATGCAACAAATGTGGATTAGGAAATTAGAATGGGACGATGATTTGCCTAGTGATTTACAAGATAGTTGGATTCGTTTTCGCGAAGATTTGAAGACAATAACAAAACTTAGTATCCCACGGCGGGCGGTCTTATCAGAGTATATAAGAATAGAAATTCACGGATTTAGCGACGCAAGTGAGAAGGCTTATGCAGCCTGTATATATGTTAGATGCAGTTTTAGCACAAGGGAACCGGTATCAAATTTGATATGTGCAAAATCAAGAGTTGCCCCGGTTAAGCAAGTAAGTTTACCACGGTTAGAATTATGTGGGGCTGTCTTATTAGCGAATTTGCTTAATAAAGCTATAAAAATTTTAGAAATTGATTTTGATCAATGTTATTTGTGGTCCGATTCCATGATAACTCTTGCTTGGATAAGAGGGGATTCAAAGAGGTGGAAAACCTTCGTAGCCAATCGCGTAGGTGAAATTCAGTCACTTACAAGTGTACTAGATTGGAGACACGTAGAGTCTGCTAATAACCCGGCAGACTTACTAACTAGAGGAGTAACAGTTAAGTTATTATGTGATTGCGAGTTGTGGTGGCATGGACCATCCTTTTTCAAGTTAAATAACAGTGCGTGGAACATAGACAATTTTGAGCTAAATTTTGAAGTACCGGAACAACGTTCTGTATCGTTGGCATCATGCATAATAAAAAACGACTTATTGGTTAATCGATAAGTTTTCGAGTTTGAATAAAATTGTAAGGATTACAGGCTATGTGCGTAGGTTTATTGATAATTTGAGATGTCCCAAGTCTGATAGAAATTTTGGAATCTTAACCCCAATAGAGCTAGAGAACTCTTTAAACCTTTTGATCACGCTCGTACAAAGAGATTGTTTTCCAATAGAGTATAGAAGCTTATCATCTAATAAAGCGTTGGAAAATAAAAGTAAGTTGCTTCCTTTGAGACCTTTTTTAGAAAATGGCGTCATGCGAGTTGGCGGGAGATTAAGTAACTCTAAGCAGAATTTTGATAAAAAGCATCCAATAATTTTACCCAAGGGTCATATATTAACAGAGTTGATTTTAAGAGATGCTCATGAAACACTATTACATTGCGGAGTCCAGACATTGTTATGCGCAATAAGGGATAAGTTCTGGCCCATTGGTGGAAGAAATTCCTGCAAGAATATAGTTAGAAAGTGCGTAACTTGTTTTAAGGTGTCACCTAAAGACACAAATTATTTGATGGGTGATCTTCCCAATGTGAGAGTCAATACTTACCTTCCATTTCAGAACATTGGCATAGATTACGGAGGACCGTTTTTAGTAAAAGACCGTAAGGGTAGGGGCGCAAAAACTAGTAAAGTTTACATGTGTCTTTTTGTTTGCATGAGTGTGAAGGCAGTACATATAGAGCTGGTTTCAGATTTGACCACCGATGCGTTTCTTGCTGCATTTCATAGATTTAGTAGTCGTAGAGGAAAACCAACTCATGTGTATTCCGATAATGGAACGAATTTTTTGGGAGCGAATAATGCGTTAAATGAGTTGTTCAAATTTTTGAAAAGAAATTCTGAGAAAATAGGGGAGACGTTAGCCCTTGAGCGTGTCAATTGGCATTTTATACCGGCTAGAAGCCCTAGCTTTGGTGGTCTGTGGGAGGCAGGCATTAAAAGTGCTAAGCATCATATAAAGCGAGTGATAGGTAATCAAAGATTAACTTTTGAGGAATTTAGTACGGTGCTGACGCAAATCGAAAGTATCCTTAACTCCCGACCACTATGTCCCCTGACAGAGGACCCAGATGATACAGCAGCCTTAACACCTGCTCACTTTTTGATTGGGAGACAGTTAATAGCCCTTCCTGAGTCGAACTTAGCCGAAGTACCTGTCAACCGTTTGAATGCCTGGCAGCAGCTGCAAGCGATGACTCAGCATTATTGGAAAAGGTGGCATAAAGAGTACCTAGCAGAGCTGCAGACTAGGACTAAATGGAGACGCGATGGAGGGACGAGACTGCAGATAGGTTCTTTGGTCCTGCTGAAAGAAGAAAATACTCCTACCTTGGATTGGAGGTTAGGCCGTGTAGTGAAACTGTTTCCTGGAACTGACAATGTTGTCAGAGTGTGTGAAGTCAAACTCAGAGGTGGCGTTATAGTAAAACGTGCTGTGAATCGATTGTGCGTTTTGCCTGTTGACGTTAATAATGTTTGTTGAAAGTCCTGGACCTTTCAAGGCGGGCGGTATGTTTGGAACTTTATTATTGTATGTAGTAACCCGACTTTAAGTTGCATGTGGCAACCATGTATTGTAAGAAGAAGGTAATATAGAAGTGTGGATAGTAGTTGCAGGTGTGTTAGTCTCCTAGTTTTTTCCTGATTTTATAGTAAAAGTAAAAAGTAAAGTAAGTGGTGACTACAGTCCATGAAAGCATCAGGGACGCCATCCAGCATCAATTGCAGATCCGAGGTAAACCCTTTACAACACTTCTATTTTATAGTTGTTCACTGGCCACAAACAGTTTCCGAGGATAAATCGATCTCGTGCACTATCACCATAGTCACTGTGGATTGTATATGATACCGAATTCACCATAATTTGTAATGTATGTACAGCTGTACAATATACAATTAAGGTGAATGCATCAACCTATATATGCATATCTTTGCTCGGGCATTCCATGAAATGACCAACTCAATTTGACCATATCGTTGAATCGTCAACGTATAACGATTTTCTTATCCACGTTTGACAATATCGTAAAATAATAATATGTTTATTGTTTTTTATCAAAGCTAAGAACGTTAGGAAATAAAATTATAGTGGACCTTCATGCCCAACAGCTATATGAATTTCCTTATATTTCTCCCATTGGAAATATTCGTATAGCAGGATTTTTTCTTAAATATAATGTGTTCCTGATCTTCAGTCTCCATGATATCATAACAATAATAAATGCCTTTATTTCCAAACAGTTCTCAAAAAAAAAAAATCAGAAAAAGAAATATGAGTATTAACAAAAAAAAGGAAAATAAAAAAAAATAAAAATATATAAAACAAATGTCGACTGTCTGAAAACCACAAGGGGGAGTTCACTATCTAGTGCTCTTCCACTCATCCCTTGAAATTGTAAGAAACATTATGCCAGTAAATACATCCATCAAGCATATACAAACTGCAATATGAACAGCATGTAAGTTTTTTTAAAAATAAGATAGAAAAGTGAGAAATGTGGTAATAAATTAAAAAAAAAGAAAGTCTAGAATAATATATATATATATATATATATATATATATATATATATATATATATATATACCCATACATACCGCATAAACAAACGCCAATATGAGCGACAATTAAGTTTGAAAAAAGAGCAAAGAGAAAA